CTAAAGAACAGTCACATAACAACTGACTCCCATTTTGATAATTATTTGTTAGAAATGTACAAATAATGTATTATTAATGAATTTTTCTATTCCTTGTAACATAAATTTAATAGGAATTTTTTCAATATGTGTAAACTCTGTCATACAGAGTGCATGCAGAGTGCATACATTCATGATGTGAAAATCAAATTAAAGGGAATAATGCATTTAATTAAATCAATCTTAATTATTTTGCTACTAAGCAATGAAAATCACATTATTATTTTTACACAAATACTCTACGTTTGATTATGCGATAAAATACTCACATGGCATTTCCAAAGGTAATAAAGTCCGGGATTTTTAAATAAACACAAATATTCTGTATCGATTTATTTTTATATTATATTACATCTTAATTTAACACTCTACGAAGTTGCTATAATAAAAAGAATAAGTATAGTAAAAAATGGACGCATATATTTTTACATTTGACCATTCTGCTATTATTCAATACAGATTTGCTTTCAATTCAAATATGTCTTTTTCCTGCAAGAACGTCACAAAATTAGAAGCATACTATTTTTTTAGAACCAAACATGTTTTCCAATTTGTATAAGTATAGTCACACTCAGCTAAATTCAATAACCATAGTCATTCAAAATCGATCAACGTTGATTTCACTCCTACCACATTTCTTTCCAAGATTGAAGTGAATTTATTATTTTAAATGAAATGATACACTTCTGTGATTAGTAGAAAAAAAAATGAACCAACATTACTCATTCCTGTACTCATCACGTTTTCGGATGTTATGTAAACAAATTTTACAAACATTAGAAACGTAACAGACACAAAGTGTAATATTTGTTTACTGAAAATGACAGATAACTAAGAAGTATCTTATTTCAATATCCACGATCTATTACTATTGAAAATTGGCAATAGATGGTTTGTATATCGTAATTGGATGCAATTTTGCATAAGATCATATCATCAGTCTTTAGTTTTTTGAAAACCGTATAACTGGATAAATTTACGCGGACTTTCTGCGGTACAAACTTCTACAATTATAAGAAGAAATACCATCAAGTATGTATATTATGACATGAATGCAACATGAAAATGGACAACGGTACAATGCTTTTTATTGAAGAAGCATAATCACAGTTGTCCGAACTAACATACGATTAGTTTTATAGAAGCAATATCGCCATCAGCAATGCACGATAACATAAAAATTAGAATTCGTTAAACTCATACCGAAGAGATTTCCGAATTGTTAAATAAAAATGCAACAATTGCGAATTGTTTACAAGTTAAAGGTTAATATATGCAACATCTTAAACGGTAATAAATGAATATTGGAATATGAGGACCGAATGCAATTATAATGATACAGCTGCTTTTTGTTTAACTATGACATTCATTGATCCTGAAGGACTGCAATCATTTAATTCGACAGGTTGTGAATGTCTACCATAGTTATGCCAATTGAAAAAGAGTTCGGTTAAGAAGTAATAATGTTAAAATCTCCTCGGCTCTCCTTCGTATACAAAAAAAAAACAACTTAAGCAGAAAAGTAGGCCTTCCAAGTATTTAAATTTTAATACTTTTTTCATATTACCAATATCTTTGAAAATATTCACTTCTTATGCTTTATGAGCTTCACCCAGTGAATAGAATGTATTGAATATTTCCATTTTTTTTTTTTTAATTATTACAAGGAATTGTTTACTTAAATATTTTGTTTAAAACAATTATAATATAATACGATTTATATCATATCATATCATATCATACAGCTTATCACGTAAAAAATAAATTAAACATTTATTGTGATTTATTACAAAATTTAGCTTTGCCTGATGCCTTTTGCTTTTCCAAATACATTAAATAAGCAGTTACAGGTTCTCGCTTATTTCTAGCAAGCATTTTTTGCCTGAACGAAGTTATCTCTGGAACTTTCTTTTTCTTTTTTATTGTTTCAAGGCTGACAACACTAAATTCAGTTGTACTTATACAAGAACTTAGCGGAGTAGAATCTTCTTCTAGGTATACATTCTTTGTGTCTTTAACTCCTGAATTAATCATCGAACGAGATGATAATAGTTGATCTTCCTTTTTTGATGATCTCTTTTTTTTCGGTAATCTCGATATGTCAGACAATCTTTCAAGATCTTCTTCAGAAAGTCGTTTAATGTTACTTTTCTGTGGTTCAATTTTATTAGTTTCTGCTGTTTGATTCTTAGATTTTAATCTCTTAATCTTAATTTCTTTTTGCCTTTGCATCCTTTCCATATGTTCTTTCTGCTTCTTCTTTTTCATTTCTTTATTAGCTTTAATGGTATCCAAAGTACTTTTTAACATTCCTAACGCTTCATTTCGAGCTTCAGAAAATGCAACTGTTTGTGGTCCCTCATCTGAATCAGATGCCGCATCGCTGCACTGCTGCGGTTTATTAGATATTGCAGTACACGTTACATTTATTAATTTTACATTATCCTGATTAATATTTCGTAATAATTTCTGTTTTTTCTCTGACGACTTTCCAACTAAAATATTTTCATTCATTAAACCATCTTCATCCTGCAAAGTACTATCTTCTGATAGTAATTTTTTCTTTTTCTTGGATAAGTTTTTATTTGGTAAACCATCTGAAACTTCTTTCGTTTTCTTTGTTGTTTTAGTATTTTCATTTTCACTTGACAAAGCATTTGGTACTTTCTTCTTTTTCTTTAGTATTTTCGTTTCCCCACTTTCATTGGACAAATCTTTTTTCTTCTTCTTTACCAGTTTAATGTCTTCTTCTTCATTTGCTATAGCATTTGAAAGTTTTTTCTTTTTCTTTAGTATTTTAGGTTCTTCATTCTCATTTGGTGAAGTATTTGGAACTTTCTTCTTTTGCTTTAGTATTTTAGTTTCCTCATTTTCATTGGACAAAACAGCTGAACCTTTTTTCTTCTTCTTTACCGGTTTAACGTTTTCTTCTTCATTTGTTGAAACATTTGTAAGTTTCTCCTTTTTCTTTAGAATTCTAGTTTCTTCATTTTCACTTGGAGAAACATTTAATAGCTTCTTCTTTTTCTTAAGGACTTTAGTCTCGTCATTTTCGCTTGATGAAGCATTTAATAGCTTTTTCTTTTTCTTAAGGGCTTTAGTTCCGCCATTTTCATTTGATGCAGCATTTAACAGCTTCTTCTTTTTTTTAAGTGTTTTAGTTTCTTCATTTTCACTTAGCAAAGCATTTGAAACTTTATTCTTTTTCTTTAGTATTTTAGTTCCCTCATTTTCATTGGACAAAACAGCTGAAACTTTCTTCTTCTTCTTCAGCGGTTTAACGTTTTCTTCTTCATTTGCTGAAACATTTGTAAGTTTCTTCTTTTTCTTTAGTATTTTAGTTTCTTCATTTTCACTTGGTAAAGTATTTAACAGCTTTTTCTTTTTCTTAAGTGTTTTAGTCTCTTCATTTTCACTTGGCAAAGCATTTGAAAGTTTCCTCTTTTTTGTTACAATTTTAGTTTCTTCATTTGTGTTTGAGAAACTTAAAATATCATCACCTGTTTTATATTTTTTCTTGTTTACCTTTGTCACGTTACATGCTGCTGTGTTATTGTTCTGTTCTGTTTCAATAAATTTCTCACATGTTTTCTTCTTCTTCTTTTTCTGCTTCTTACCTACATGTTCTTCTGTTTCATCATTATCATCAGTATTAGCAATAGAAAGAATATGTTCATTGTTCTTCACAATTTCTGCATCTTCAGCTTCATGGAAATCATCTTCAGATAGTATAAGATCAGTTGTTTCTACTACTGACTGTTTTCGTTTTTTAAGTTTTTTCTGTTGATCATTTTTTAATATATTGCCTGCTACTTTAAATAGTTTTCTTTTTAAAGAATCATTTACACCTTGAGTTGTTTCTATATTTGATTCACCGACACTTTTATTATTTCCTTCAATTTGAATTAATATATCACTCTGTTCATTATCATAAGTAGCATTTAATAATTTTTTACATGTAGTATTTAATTTTAATACTGGTGCACTTACATTTAATTTTTCTTTCATCAAATATTTTGTTGTAGGTGTCATACTTTCAGGAGCCAGTGTTGTTTTATTTAATTCTGCTACTTTGGAAGACATTGTCCTTGAAAGATTTGTTTTTGTTAGTAGTGTAAGTAATTCAGGTGAAAGAATGTGATGCATGAGACCTTCATTTATTGTTTTACTTAATTTCTTGGAGCTTTTTTCCTTTAATGTTGTACTTTTATTTTCTTCCTTATCAAAAGAATCATATTCTGTAACTTCATAAATTTTACTAGTTACTTTTTTATGTTTCGTTTCTGAATTTTTTGTTTTTGATGTTTCCATACTACTATTAAATTTCTCTTGTTTAGATATATCAGTTTTAGGAGTACTACATTCCATTGAATTGAGTTTCAGTATTTTTTTATTAAATACCAGTTCAGACTCATTTAATGATTGTTCTAAATCTTCAACTATAAATTCACCAGATAATCGGATTTTTTCTTTTTTCTTTGTTTTAAGAATACTTGAATGCGATAAATCAGCTAAACTATTTTCATTTTTATCTTTTTCTGTCTGAGATGTATCTATATTACGTTTCTGGTTATGATCCTCATTCTGTTCTTTCCTCTTAATTATTTTCTCCTCTATTTCTTCCTCAACTTCCATATTTTCATCTTGTTCTTGCATGTTTTTTTCATCATCATCTTTTTGATGTGTTTTGGAATCTTTCTTGTCATCTAATTCTTTATTTTTAATTTCCGCACCCTCTTCTTCTTCACTTTCATTTTCTTTATCTTCATCTTCACTTTTATTTTCTTCATCTTCATCTTCACTTTTATTTTCTTCATCTTCATCTTCATCTTCACTTTCTTCTTCCCCCTCTTCAACTACAAAATCTGCAAGATCTGATCCATTGTCATCTGGATCTGACGATTCCGTTTCTGATGCTCTACATTCATCCCCTGGTACATCATCATCGGAAAACTTAGAGATATCTTTGCCGTAAAGATTATATTCCTTCTGAATATCAGAGTCTATACTTTTACTTGATTCCTTATCATCATCACTGTTAGTATCGCTTTCTGCGTTAAAGAAAAGTTTACGAAATATCGTGAATTTATTTTCTGAATTATCAGAATCAGACATATTTTTAATATCTTGCTTTGATTTATTAAGTGATCTTCGTTTTCTTGGAACATCTTCAGACGAATTACTTTTATTAGATGTATTTTCTTCCATTTCTATTGTTTTATGTGACTTAGATAAACTTTTATCTCTCACTGATTGAACTGAAATATTACATTTCGAAGTAGAGTGTTTATTGTTATCTGCTACTATAGATTTATTGTCGTCTACATTTGTTGAACTTTCTGCATCTTGTGCTGTATCTTTCACATCCTTTATGTCTTCTAAATCCTCTATTACATTTTCTTTATTCTTAATTACTTTTGGATCCATAGATTTTCGTCCTTTTGTATTCGGACTTTTACCTTTGCTGACATTTAATTTACATTTACTTTCTGATATATCCATTGCCATATTTTCCTCATTTACTGCTTTCATAGAATCTGTTTCTGTTTCTAACACAACAGTATCATCTGAATCACAGTCAGATATTTGTTTCTTTTTCTTAGTCTTTGCACTTTCCGCGGTTAACCACGCTTCTGTATCAACCAAAACGAGATCGTATTCACCTTCGCTTTCATTTTCCAATCTCTCTGTTGACACTGAATGTACAGAATTCTTATCAGTATCAGCATTCTTCTGCTGCTTCCATTCATCAGCTGGAATATCTTGAAATAAGTTTGTCACATTTGTATCGGAATCGTTATCAATTTCCATGTTTTCTTGATTGTTTTTATTTTTTTCTTCATTAGTTTTCGATTTTCTTTCACTCAATTTATGTATCCGTTGGTTCTTTAACGTTAAAGAATTATCCAATACTGAAACTTTCTTTGACTGTTTTTCACTTTCAGGTATTTCCTGACTAAATTCAACTGAAGTCTCTGTAACAATGAAAGATTGACTATTTTTAACTGCATTAATTACATTATCTTCATTCACATTAATAACTGTAGAATCCCCTAGGTTCATACAAGCATCAAGAGATTCTGAAATATTACCAGTACTTGAATTATTCATTCCATTATTGTCTTTTAAATCATGTGTATCCTCGTGCTTTGAATGGGATATATCTGTAATTAGTATCTTGTCTGACGATTTTGATAATTTTACGTTATTTAAATTAGGAGACGAAAGCGCATTTATAGAACTCATTTCATTCTTTTTATGAACATTTTCCGAAGTATTTAATTTATCAGTTACTTCATTAATTTCCTCTGATGTATTTGCTTTCTCAGTCATATCACTATTTTCATGTACACTTCTTGATGTATTTGCTTTCTCACTTATTTCATTATTTTCATATACATTTTCTGATGTATTTGCATTCTTACTCATTTCATTAGTTTCAGTTACATTTTCTGATGTATTTGCATTCTTACTCATTTCATTAGTTTCAGTTACATTTTTTGATATATTTGCTTTCTCATTCATTTCATTATTTTCAAGTACACTTCCTGATGTATTTGCCTTCTCACTCATTTCATTAGTTTCAGTTACATTTTCTGATATATTTGCTTTCTCACTCATTTCATTAGTTTCATTTACATTTTCTGATATATTTGCTTTCTCATTCATTTCATTATTTTCAAGTACACTTCCTGATGTATTTGCTTTCTTACTTATTTCATTACTTTCATGTATATTTTCTGATGTATTTGATTTATCACTTTCAGATTCCTTAATTTCATCCATATTTACTTTTTCAATTGAAACATCCATTTTGATGCTTATATCTTTATTTTCTTTATTATGAATTTTCTCTGACTGTTCACATAATTTAGTATTAATTTCTGTAGAATGGTTACTTTCCACTTCATTTTCATCTTTTACACTCTCCACATCTTCAATACTATTATTTAAACTTGAATTTCTACGCACTTTTAAAGAAACGTTTTTCTTTGAGCTTTCACTATGTATGCTCTCATTGACTGATTCTGTTTCTGTACTTAGAGCTAATTTTTGCATATTATCAGAACTATCTGGATCTTCTTCATTCATTGTAGTACCCATATTTTCAATTAATAAATTGTCACTTTCTTTTACAGAAGCTTTATGAGAGTCTTTCAAATCTAAAATTTAGTATTATATGTTACAAAATTAAAATTGAATAGAAATATATTATGGTAAAGAAATTAAAAAAAATAATATACCTATTTTATTAACTATGTTAACATTAGGTAATGTGCGATCTATTGCCACCACAGGTATCTTCTCCTCTATAACAGTTACTTCTGAAGGTAATACTGAAGTTCGTTTTCTTATTTTAACAGGTGTACATGTTGATTCATTCTTTCTTGTATCAGTTTCAGGTCCCACAGAGCTAGCTCTTGTACTACGTGTAAATCTTGTTGCTGGTGGTGGTGAGTTTGCTTCTGAACCAGCTCTTGTGAATCGCTTGCTAAGAATAATAAACAATAATTTATTGTAATTAAAGAAAATAATATAATACATAAAAATGGTTAGTAATTATATACACCTTCTTCGATTATTTGTCTTATTAAGTGCATCATTAAAATTAGTCCTTGCAGTTCTCTTTGATAATGTACCAACATCTGTTTCTGCCACTTCGCTGACATCTGAGGATACAGAATTTATCCTAGAACGTAGTGTTCTTTGGTTTTCAGTTGAAGAACCATCCATGGCAAGTTTTTGTCGCGTTCTAACCCTAGTAGTTTGTGTATTACTAACGTTACTTGCGTCGCTTAAAAGCGATTCTGGTGAAGATTCATTTTCTCTAATAGCTGGTTTAATTCGAGAACTGCGACGAAGTGGTGAATCAACTGATGCTGCTTCGGTGAGAGCACGAGTTTTACGACCTAATAATTGCAGACAAACATGAATAATGTGAACAAATGTAATTAAAACTTATAAAATGTCGATTATTTATTTCAAGAAGACTTAAAATAAGAATTTCTATAATATTATGCGTTGTCACACTAATAGAAGTATAACATTCGATACTGAATCGACCGTTACATTCGGCGACCAAGTGAACCGCGTGCGCGTACAAATCAAAAAATGAAAAATACAAACCGTGCTTAACATCTTCCTCCTCATCTGAATCTCTTACTAAACGTGGCATTTTTGATTTCACTTAAAACATATATTAAACAACAACTTGTATAAAAAAAGAAAAAACTTTTCAGTATAAGACTTCGTACTAACACGTGTTATCTTATGAATTCAAACTGATATACTCGACCTTTTCACATATAATACGCACTTAGAACATCCGTTACGGAAAACGCATTCAGAGACACCAAGTGACAAAATACAGTAATATTTCGATTTTTTTCAGTAACTTCTTTAAAAATATATTTTTAATAATTTAAACACTTAAATACTAATATAGAACATTATTTATACGAAAAAGGAGCAAAATCATTACACCATTCAAATGAAACAACGAAGTAGATAATTTCATGACAAACGCAGATGCAGTAATCATAAAATTGCGGGAAATTGATTAGTGTGTCGACCAAATGTCACAATTTAAAGACAACAGTTAAGTGAAATGCAATCATAAGATAGAAAATGAAGACAATACCTACTAATAAATAAATTAAAAATTACATAAAACAATGGATTGTAGCAACCCAATATTTGTAAGTAAAAATACATAACTTGACAATTAAAAGGCATGTGTCGGTAAAAAATATCTCGTAAATTCATCGCATAATTATACAGTTATATTAATATTTATGTATAAACGATTAAAATCTTGTGTGCTTGTTTAATATTATCTACAACTTTTGTAAAAGTTACATTTAAAAAATTCTAAAATTTGTATTTTTGAAAATTAT